AGTAATCGATGCACCCCCTCGAAACATTGGAAAATCCACGAACCCCTCATTTTATCTGTCAAACTTTCATAGATAATCAAAACAAACATTGTGTAGTAGTAGAATTTCGACGTTAATCGTTTGCTTAGGACCAATAGGCTAGTCAAGTAGTGAGCCAATTTCAAATCGATAGTTTCGTACTGATTGTTGCTAGAATGGTTCAAAATTTGAACTTTATGTTCTTAAAGTCCTAGTACTGCGCCATAATGATTTACGAAAAAGCATTTTCATCTGCTCTTATGTGAAATTTCATCAGCTGCAACTTTGCGATAGACCACTTCATGCATAGACTTCAAGGTAATCAGTTATTAATTGATTTCGAAGCCAATAACTTTCTGTTATGATTTATCGACAGTTTTCAGGGCAACATAGCATCTTGCACTTATGGAATAGTAGTCTGAAATGTTTGCCCTATTCTTCGCGCCAAGTACACTCAGAAAATATTCAAATCTAAATAGTATAAAAGCTACGCTAAATCGCAACTCTACCGACCGACGCATAGATCGGTATAAAATGAGAGAATACGTACTTAGTATAAAAATGGTTTATACACTGAAATGTATAAAGTCGCGATATTGATAGGATGTATACAAGCTGTTTATTGATTTTAATTTTTGTCAAGTAACTGAATAAGAAAAAAAGTAAACAAAGTATTCTCAAATACTGAAGATATATTTTCATAGATGTAAATTACAATAAATATGTACAGAAGCGACACGAGTACCAGATGATCGAGAATGGTTATAATAAAGTGCTCGTTGAACTCCGAGTCAAAGTCAATAAACTGCGGACCATGGTGCTGATGATCTGTGTCCGACTGGCGAATTTCCACGTGACCAATGCGCTTGCAAGAGGGAAAATGTTTTGTTGAATTTTCAGTAATATTTTAAGCGAGATAAAATATTGTCACCTATTCAAATTTGTGCTCAGATGTGTTATTATGTTATGTTTATTATTTGCCATCGGGAAGGCGTTCAGTTATAACTCCTCCAACATATTTAGACGCGACTGATTGTTTCAAGCGCCTCGGTTTTTCCAACACGACTCACAGTTCCCTATGAATATTTAATTAACACTTACTACCGGATCCTTACCGTTTCTTGACTGCGACTGTGGGTGCCATCGTGATTGATATTACGTGTAAAACTTGTCAATGTTTATATGTAATTTGGAAAACTCTGAACGAATTCAACACTGTTATTCAGATTTAGTATAATTTTGTAATCAAATAAATGCGTTAATCATGAAATGATTAAATTTAAATCATCAATTGTTTAGTAATATTTTTGAGTGTACACCAATGTTGCCATCTTGCTAATTAATAAATAACGTATTATCCTGACGTTCAAATCAAATGCGGTCTTAAGCAAAGTTGCAGCTGAGAAAATTTCACAGTAGTGAAGGGCTAGAACGATGAGAACAAAAAGTTAACTTTTCTCATGGTAATTTCCATATAAACTTCAAAGTGCCAGGGCAGCTTGATTTCGCATCCAAATGAGCTCAAATTTTACGAAGACCTGCTTTGAAATCGATTGAGCCTGATGGAGTACAATCGATATTTTGAACCACTCTACTGGGACTGATTCGGATAAGGAGATTAGTGGTAAGAATCGATACGGATATGTTGAAACGGTATGCTGCTTCGATGGTGTAAGCCGTCAATCAAGGAAACCTAAGCAAAAAACAGGCTCTGGATTACATGGAAATTAAGCTGCTTGTGATGTGGTTTATGACGGCACCTTGCATAACACAACGGCTGAGAGAAGGCGACCTGCGGTCCTTTAAGGGTCCCTTCACAGATACTTCGAGGCTGGCGAAGTGTGGCCATGGATCGAGTAGAGTGGAGACGACTTCTTTTGACAGCAGAGGACAACAAGGCCTTAGACTGATTGGTAAGAGAGAAGGCTTTGTAGATCTCTAATCACTTGATGATTAGGAATATTTTATACGACACCTGATTTCATGCGAGCATTGATAAGAGACGTGTTTTGAATTATTGGACTGTTTGAGATATTCAGAATGTTACCTGATCAACCTCATGCCTTGAAAAAATATCCTAAGGATTTCATGGAGATCAACCTGAAGGTTTTTTTTTATAATTTCTGACTCACGTAGTATCGTAAGGGAGTATCTGAGAGACGCAATTTTAGGTGTTGGATATCATCAGAATGGTACCTATTTAACCTGCACTGAAAATATTTTTTCGTTAAATCTCTCATGCCCATTTCGTAAAAATGGGTTTCGTAGATATAACATATTTTTCGTATATTGTACGAAACATTTGTAATGTATGTTGTCAGGCATGATGCTAACATTACGCTTAGTTCGTACGATACAAGAACTGAATTTCGTAGGAACGTAAACACTGCCTTCGTTAATCATTAGTACGTTCGTGTAAACTACGTTCATCTACGAAAATCATTCGTGCATTATAGCATTGGACGCTCATTAATATTATGAAACAGTCCGTATGTGAAACGAATGTTTGTAAGTACAATCACAGCTAGAAGAAAACATATATTTGTGAGCGAAAGTTTCTCGATTTGTTCGACATCATCATTGGACTGTAGAAGACTAGCGTTGATTTTTGTTTGGTCCGATCCCGGCGTCGAAAATGCACCACGGAGGAACAAACATGGCTCAAGCTGGGAGTCCAGTCATAAACTATGGCCATCCTGGCGCTGACCATGGTTACCTGAGAGCGATCATGGATGTGACAAATACGTTTTCATCGAGGGCTATCAGGAAGCTCACGGTCCCTGATGAGGTGAGTAATTACCATCGTTTTGCAATTTTTAGTGGAATCCTTGTTTTTTTTTTTCAATAAACACAGCATGTCAATCGTTGTCTAGACGAAAGAGCAGCCGACGTGAATTTTTCGGTGAACATAGACCGCATTCTGATCTTGGACACAGCCGACTCAACAAATCCCCAAGGCTAAATATTTTAGCGAGACCGTGCCACCGACTGGTCGGGAAGGCGTTGGGCTGTTCATCGGAGAGATAAAGTTTTTAAAATGGCTTCCAAAAAAGACAATTTTATTTTCCAACTAAATGTTCGTGTTAAAATTTGTTGTTAGTATGTGGATGATTCGTAATATTTTCAGTCCTTCGATTTTTTCACACGGATATATTCGTATTTAGTTTAAGAAATATTCGTAGCAAGAGTGGCAACGCTGCGTAAAATACACGAATGTTAGGAAGTGAATGATTTTGGAATTTTAAACGAACACACTAAGATTTTGTTTCCGTATTCGGTAAATTTTACCGAAATCAGAACAGCTGAACGTTCGGTAAAACTTTGACCTTCATTTTAAAGGCAATTGAATTTGAAAATAGTTTCAAAACATGTTCAACCTTGTTTAAATGATCAAATCTTGCCATTTCAGTGGAGATTTAGTTTCAAAGTAGCTGAAAAGCATTTGAATTGAATTGCATAAATTTTACCGAAAAGTTCAGCTGTTCAGATTTCGGTAAAAATTACCGAAGTAAGTATAATTTCTAAGTGTGAATCAAGTTTCTTAGAGCGTACGAATATTGTTCGTTGCAGAAAACAACGAAAGAATTCGTGAAGCAAACGAACGCTTTCGTTGTATAAACTAAATTAAATTTTCAGTGTGAAGGCTTGCAAAAATAACCTGAGCATTTAATGAAGATCTCTGATCACCTGATGGCCTGTGGAATAATTTTTAAGCAACTTGGTATCATAACAGAATATCTGAGATACGTGGTTTGATTTAATGGACAGTATAATTGATCAACCCAGAGTATTGAAAAAATATCCAGAGAAGTTTTTGGAAAAATTAGGAGTCATCTGATTTCCTGAGAGAATATTTGACAGACATAATTTGAATTGTTGGACAGTTTGGAATCTTCGGAATAGTATCTGATCACCCAGATGTCTTCAAAATAGTATCTGAAAAAATATCCTGAGTACTATCTCTGCCGAAAAGTTATGAAACAATGTCTAAGTCACTTGATATCGTATGAGAAAATATCTCACATATTTGGATGGTTGATTATTTATGGAGATGGCCTTTTAAACAATTTCTAAGCAACCTGGTATCGAAGGTGAAAATCTGAGAGACGTTTTTTTTAAATTTTGGACAGTTGAAGATCTTCAGAATAATATATGATCATCCTGAAGGCTTGAAAAATTATCATAGAAAGCTTTTGGAGATCTCTGCTCACCTGAAGGTCTTTGGAATATTTTCTGAGTCACCTGGTACCATGAGAGAACATGTGAAAGATGTGATTTGAATTGTTGGACAGTTTGAGATCTTCAAAACAGTACCTGATCATCCAGAAGTCTTGACAAAGTATCCAGAGGACTTTGTGGAAATCCTAAAACACATGAAGGTCTTTGTAATAATTTCTTAGCTGCCTTGTATCATATGAGAATCTGAGAGTTGTGGTTTGGATAGTTGAATAGTCTTTAGAATAATACCTGATCATCCTGAAATCTACGACATTACGTGAACTTCAATTATACTCCTTGAAACTGTTTAAAAATGCAAGTTTCAAAAAGTTTTCTGTTCTCTATGAAACTCTCGTATTTTTATGAAGTTCTCCGAATTTCTCAGAAGTTCCCAACATCTATAAATACATCTAAAAAAAATTGAAACTGGTTTCCAGTCGTTCCCGTTCAGAAATAAAACAGGATAGTCAAGGAGTTGCTAACCTGGTGCAAAATAGTGCTCGAATAATGAAATTTGCAACACAGCATTGCGAGGGGTGCGTTTCTGTTCTAGTTTCAAATTGAAACAGTCCATATAAAATACAACAGCCTTAACGGCCTTAACATAGTGTAATAAAAAATGGTCAGACTAAGCAGTTATAAACTGTTATAAGCCTATCTTGATAACATTTTTCTTGTCGATAGTTATTATAACACGTTATAACTTTGTAGTTTGAACATAGCATAAGATTGTTTCAAATCACTAAACTACTATTGTGACATACCTGTATGCGTGCGCTTATGCGCCTTCAGGTGGGAACTTTTAGTGTACACTTTATCGCACCCCGTTGCATCGCATCGGTGGATCTTCCGATTTTTGGTCGTCCCACTTTTGCCTGGCTCACCAACACCACCGCCGCTACCCCCGCCGCCACTCCCGCTTAGATCGGGTGGCGGTCGTGGAGACAGTGAAAAATCTGTCCGTTCCGATTTGAGCCTATCGGGACTGGTGCTGTGATGTCGAGCTTCCAGAAGGGCACGACCGGCGGCCACTGCGGCGGCTGCCGCTGCCGAACTGGCCACGATTCCCGATGCCGAGGGGGAAGGTTGTAATAACCGATGAAAGGCTGCGGCTGCCGTGGCGGACTCGCTCAGCGGGTGGTTTTTGGGCAGGCTTGATGCGAGACTTGCTATAGATGCCGCCAACGGAATCGGTGGCATCAGCTTGGAACTTAGTACTGGCACTGGTTGCAGCGGGGACGACTGAGGAGATCCCACCTGTTGATGATGGTGATGGTGGTGGTGGTGCTGCTGCTGTTGGAGATCCAGGAAGGAAAGTGGCGGTGAATGGCGAGCTATGTCCGCATGGGGATGATGTGGGTGGGAATGGTGCGGGTGATGGCTGAAGGCACCGGGGCCAAAGGGCGGAAACAGTTGCGTAGGACTCTGCTGAACACAATAGTTGTACATAGGATACGTTTCACGAAAGGTACTTGTTTTCGACTCATCGCTAAGGTAGTTGTTATTGTTGTTAATGCTAAGGGTGTTGTTGTTGTTATTGGCTAGGGCGACGGCAGCGGCGACGTCTTCGTCTTCGCTATTGTTGTTGTTGTTGTTGAGGATGGTGCTGCCGCAGAGCGACGAGAACAGTTGACTGGCTGTGAATGGCGAGTGGGGCGGTTTACTGGCATTGTTGTTGGTGATGGAGAACAATCTGAAATAGAAAGATATTCTTGATGAATAATTTATCAATTAATATCACATGTCCATGATGTCTCTTTTGTCCGTCTAAGTGTCCCTAATATTGGGCCCAAGTTTTAACTCCGAAATAAAACAATTCTTATAAAGTTTTATGCAAATAGCAACCTACAACAGCTATTTGTATTGATCAAATAACCCAATGTTCGAAGCAAATAATAATAACGGGGATTATTATCGATATGGGACAAATCTTTCCCCTATCCCGTAGAACCAACCAAGCTTACGATTTTAAATTGGCTCACTACTTGACTAGCCTATTGGTCCCAAGCAAATCGATTAACGTACACCATTCCAGTCGAAATTCTAGTACTACACAATGTTTGTTTTGATTCGCTATGAAAGTTTGACAGATAAAATGAGGGGTTAGTGGATTTTCCTATGTTTCGAGGGGTGAATCGATTAGCTTGGGACCGAAGATAGTACCAGAGCTGAGCATGTTTCTTCGGGACCTACTAGTCTTAGAGTTACCTCTATGATTATAACACAGACAAACAGACATAACACTCGCAAGTTGTTCATCGAACAAGCATTTAACGGTCAATTTTAAAGTATCGTAGTTGGTAGTACCGCTACAGTGAGAAATGTACAATGTGTTATGTCTGTTTGTCTATGGTTATAATATGTTATAGCGCTATCTTGATGGTGGTTTCTGTGTTGCAATTATTTGACAACCGTTATAACATGTTATAACTCTCCAGTCTGGACAGCGTTTTATGTAAAAAAAAATCCTAACTGATCAGCTGTTGAAAATTGGTAAAAATGACCGAAATTAAATCGGTAATATTTCTTTCGAGGCAAGGGAGAGTTGATTGTAGATGCATTATAGAAAATAATGTTCCATTGTTGAGAAGGATTTTGGCGTGTACGTACACATCATTTCACTAACACTATCACAAAAAGCGAGGTTGGAAACAAAACTGATGTTAAACCTAGTTTTAAGCGAAAAACGAAATAAAGGGTGTCCCACATTAAATTGCGAAAAAAACGCTGTAGAAAATTACCTACATGACCGACCCTTTTCATACTTTCAGACAGCAAAATATAATTGTTAAATAAACGTTTGGCATATTTATTTCATTCAACTTCAATGCCATAACCGTACGCTCGCACCTTACGCTTAACTCCACTCATTAGGTACTGTACAACATCTGGCTGCAGCATTTTCTGTACGGAAACCCACTTTGTCTTCATGTCTTCCTCAGATTTGACCTCCTTAGGATGCTTCCGTAGTGCCTGCTTCATAATAGCCCAGTATTTTTCGATGGGCCTTAGTTCCAGTGCGTTGGAAGGGGGGAGGGGCAGATCACTCATGTATTTTCGTATCATCCAAACGTATTGGGAATACGTATTTATGCGTATTGTTGAATTGAAATGCATTAATGCCATTTTGTGTGATAATTATTATTTTACGTAATGGCGATTATTTACTTGTAGAATATGCACTAAACGTTTAATGAACAATATTTACTCGCATTACTATTACTATTCGTGTCGTGTTTGTTTACATTTGTGTATGAATGACTGCGAACTAAAGGTACCACGATGCGAGCCACGAAGGCCTCAAAAATTTAATCGAGGGTTTTCTCCACATCCCGAATTACCTCCCAAGCTATTCAAAGAGGGAGGATTATTGATCCCCTCATAAATTCGACGGCACGTTTTTCTAAAAAAAAAGTATCCCTAATTATTTCTAAGCAAATTTTTAGCTCTCTGTCTGCCTCATTCCGGTAGGTACGGATATTTTCCCTACGGTTCTGATTATGGTTCATTAGCAGCATAGAGTAAAATATTTCATTTTTAAAGAATATAGTTTATCAAGTGCACACAAACAAAAAAATGGAATCCCTCGGAAAATGATTTGTTCAAATCTATTCTGTCATTTGATCATCATCCTTTTTCTCGGTTTTGGCTGCCGTGGTGCCATTCTCTTCCATGCTGTTTCGGGGCTCTCCGAGGAAGACTATTTGTTCTTGCTCGCATCGGTGTTCTTTTTGTGGGCATTCTCCTAAGCTTTGATGAACTGTTGCAAATCGCCATTAGCTGAAATTGCGATTCGACCGGTCCCAGCTGTCCATATTGCAGAACATTGGAAAACATGGACACCGCTTGTTGGAATTGCGGTGAGGATAGTGCTTTCTTGAGTTGTTGTTTCTTGTTTTCATCGCCTTCGATGTTGGGTAAATGTTCCACTAGGGCATCAACCTTGTTCTGATCTGCGACACCCGACAAAAGAAATTCGGTATTGACAGCCGTAGAGAGATCAACATTGCCTCGCTGCCCGGCACCCGCAGTAGTTGAGTTCATTCCTGTCAGATAGTTCTGCAGATCCGAAAGGAGGACACGGTGACAGTTCAAATCGAATTGACGTGTATTGAAGTTTCGATTGGCGTATTATAAAGGCTGTTCGAGTATACAACCACCCGAAACTACAACCCTGGTCCAGCATCCAAAATCAGTACAATACAACCGGACCATACAACTGTGTGGTCATTGTTTTGTATTCCTTGGCTGTTCGTTTGCTGCAATAGATGGGATGGCGCACCGACGAAGATCACGAGTGGGAGTTCAAAACTCTCGCAAGAGCATCATCCATGACGTCACCCGATATCTACTGCAGTGGTGAATTCCGGCTGGAGAGGATAACGGCAGGAGAGGACCGATCGAAGATCATCGCAAGCGGCGATCCCAGGCTGGATGATGACCGTTCGTGGAAGAGCTCGTCAGTTGGTTGTTCGTACATCCCAGGTCAAACACGGCGGTAGACCTCACGCGTAGTATAATTAAATAGCTTAGTGTTTAGTGTAGCCGCGAGTGTTTGTTATTTTGTTGGATTTCCTGAAACCAAATCCTTTGGAAGGATTCCATAGCCCAAACATACTGGTTAGCAGCAGGCATACCCCAATCACCTTGGCAAGGTCACGGATAGGTTCGAGTGTTGGAGGAACATCGCCAGTGCTATCGAAGTGAGTACTCCGTTCCCCAACAAAGGCATTACTGATTTATTGATGCATTGATACATTAGTGGCGTATTTGTCTGAAATTAGGTATTTTTGTGCATTTAAATAGAATTGAAATTGTTTACTGCATTTTAATGCATTTTATGTGAATTAGTGTAATATGTGTATTTCACGATTCATTGGCAACGTTTCGAGTGTTTACAGATTTTTAAGTATTTTTTTTTAACAAAACGTATTTTCGATTCAGCACACCACATAGTGATTTGCCCCTCGGCTAGATCCTGCCAGAAGATCGTAGGACCCTCGTGTTGCTTCAACAGAGGAAGCAGACTCTACTGTAGACACTCCTTGAGGTAGGACTTCCCTGTTTACAGTCCCGGTAGCCACGAATGACGCACTCCGTTTGCCACATGAGCAGATTGCTTGCCAAATCATGTATTTCTTGGCAAATTTTGAAAGTTTCTGCTTCCTTACTTCCTCCAGAACATCAAACTTGTGCTGGGCGGTGAAGAACAGTAGCTCCGAAAGCTGCCGGAAGTTCGCCTTGACGTAAGTCTCATCATCCATGATGAGACAATGAGGCTTCGTCAGCATCTAGGTGTACAGTTTCCGGGCCCGTTACTTTCCCACCGTATTTTACCGTTCGTCACGATCTGGAGCCTTCTGCACTTTGTACGTATGCAGTCTCTTCCGATCCTTGGCTCTCTGAACGAAAGACTTGGACAGATTCAACTTTTTGGCCACATCCCTGACCCAGGGTTGAAAATTCTCTGGGGAGAATCACCCGGGTGCGAGAGATATCATTATCTTGGGTGAATCTCTGCTTGTCTCCTCGGAAATTTATCCTGGCACCACTGGAGAGATTGTTAGACACAGCACGAGAGAGTGAGAGAGTTGACTGTTTTCTGTTTGTCTGTTTATACACTCACTTCCGTGAGAAAGATGGCTGCGCAAAGGCGTTACTGTTTCTCCAAAGATTCCGGCAGAGCTTACGTGAGTGAGTTAAAACATCAATAAAAAAACTGAAAAACGTATACAAGGGGACAAAGTGCGAAGTTTTTCACGAAGAAAAAAGTTCGGTTTGATGACGGTACCGAAAAGGTGGTTGTGAATTTTGTGCTTTGCAAGGCAAATGGAAAAACATTCAAAGTGGACACGGTATTGAACTTGAAGCGGCATCTCGTCAATATTCATCGGGTGTTCTGGTGTTGCTAGATCACTGCTCCTCTCTCCATTTTCGCTGCAGCTGCTGACGGCATTCCAAGTGCCTTCCATCGATGACATTCTCCACGTTAAAGACGGGCATCTCCCTTCGCACTGTCTCGCACCTTTGACAGTTTTCTATTCACCCAGGTCGAAAAAATCTGTATTAGTCTACGTGTCCATCTACCGTTCTCCGCCGTGTTCCACTTCTGTTGCCACTTAGCCAACGATTCCGCTCTCACAACTTTTCTAACTCTTCCGGCATCTCTCCGCCTGTAGTGTAGCACTCGCTCTCCTCCGCCAGGGCGATGCCGACAGGGATCATTCCGGCGAAAACGCATACTGCTTCCGACGAGATGGTTCTGTACGCACTCCCGACTCGCATGGCCATGAACCGGAACGTACTGCTCAGTTTCTTTTGGTTCTGCTTCGTTTCCAGCGCTGGAACCCAGGTTGGACCTTCATACCTCAGTATCGACGACAACATACTGGACATAAAATGCTTCTTGCTACTGATGGGACCAGCGTTTCTCGGCATGATTATAGCTATCGCGTTGATGGCCTTCGAAGCCTTCATACAGGCATATTCGACGTGGCTGTTGAAGTTTAGCTGGTCATCGATCATCACTCCCAGGTATTTCAACACATGCTTTGAGGTTATGGCGTGCCCCCCACGGTGATATCTGCCCGCTATACCGTTTTACAGTTACTGGCCAATAGCACTTCCGTTTTGTTGGTGGGCTATCTGCAGCTTCGCTCTTTGCATCCAGTTACCAATCATGTCGATCGCCTCGGTCGCCAACACTTCCACCTCTTCCAGCGTCTCGCCTGTTACCGTCAAGACGACGTAGTCCGCAAATCCAACGATCTCAACTCCTATGGGCAGCTTCAGCTTTAGCACGTAAAATCTCCAAAATAAAGATTAAAAAAAAAGCTTTAGCACGCCATTGTCCATCCCGTTCCAGAGCGTTGGACCAAGGATGGAGCCTTGTGGAACTCCCGCTGTGATCCTAATCGATATTTGTCTCATGTCTGTCTGTCGACTAACAGAAGCAAATTTCAATAACGATGCGCTGATGCACTTCCCGTATTCGCATTTCCAAAATGTGTACATTATGATTTTACAAAAAAAAAAAAAATGACTACCTACTGTACGTTAATAGAAAAAATAATCTTCAAAAAATCTTGTATGCAACAAACTAACAACCAAAGTCTTCACCGAGGTGATTCTCCCCGGTGAAGCAAACGAACTCTCTACGGTGCTCCCTAGTGATCACTCATATTCTCCGGTGTGTTAGACTGGTCGAGGTGCGAACGTCAGAAACTGTGTTTGTTTGCGAAGTGGGAGAAGTGGTATACAGTGAAAACAAAATAAGATCTCTCGGGTGAGTTTGCTTTTGTCGTAGTGCGAGGTGTCTTTTCAACTCTTCACCCTGCTTACACTGGGGAGAATGGCATTCCTGCCCTGACCGAAGCATTGGGATTCCGCTTAATCGCTTTCACGACACGCTTGTGATCCTGATCACTAATAGAACTGACAGCGACAAAAATACAGTGTAAACAATACACTCTAAACTACTTCTACCGAAATTTTCATGAGAAAATACCCAATGGGTAATTTTCTACAGCGTTTTTTTCCGTGATGCAATTTGATGTGGGACACCCTGCACATTCTCCATGTTCCTGAAATTATTTTATTTAAAAAAAAACATCACTGAATGCTATGACGAAGCTTTCACAAATTTATAGCAGCAGAATAAAGATGATGAAATCACAAAATAGGTACATAAAGCATCTTATGTTATGCTCAGGCTGACTAGTTATAACATATTATAAGGGGATGTGGGACCTCCCTTAGCTCAGTCGGTAAAGGCGCAGCTACAAAGCAAGACCATGCTGGAGGTGGCTGCGTTCAATTCCCGGTCCGGTCTAGGAATTTTTCGGGTTCGAAAATTTCTCGACTTCCCTGGGCATAAAAGTATGATTAGACTTGCCACACAATTATACCAATGCAAAAATGGTACAGGCATCGAAAGCTCTCAATTAATAACTGTGGAAGTGCATCTAGAACACTAAGTTGAGAGCACGCAATAACCTAATTTGCGATATGCAATAAGCTTGAAATGCGAGAACAAGAAGAACAAGGGAATGTGAAACAAATGGTCGATGGTTAAAACGTCGAATGACAAAACTTTCCAATGACAAATTGCCGAAAGGGCAAAAGGTCGAAGGTACAAAAAGGTCCAATGATGCGAAGGGGGACAAAAGGTCGAATGGAACAAATGGTCGAATGAACGAATGGTCTAATGAACAAATGGTCAAATGGGCAAATGCTTGAATGGGCAAATGCTTGAATGGGCAAATGCTAGAATGGACAAAAGGTCGAATGGGCCAAAGAGGAACAAAAAGTCGAATAGACTACACTGAAAACGAATCTTACCATTACACGTATGGAGAAATTTCTAAAAGCGTAAACTCAAATATTTTCAAATATAAATAGATTAAAAGTTACACTAAATCGCAACTCTCCTTACCGACGCATAGCATACTATAAAGAGAAAGAATTCTAACTTAATATAAACTGGTTTATACATTGGATAGCATTAATTTTTGACGTATTCAGAGTTGCGACCTATCACAATCACGATCGTTAAACAGCTGATGGTAGTAACGTTTAGTACATTCCTATCAATGTGCTTGTCGAAACATTATCCATGACCATCCTTCAAGTTGACGAAAGAAGTAAAAAGCAACTGGTGAATGTTGTCTTCTCATCACCGATCTGGTCATTCCCGACAATCACGACACTCATCTGTGCTCGTTTTGAAGCAGCTGCTGCTGTGCTTGCTTATGTGAGTGTGTTGGTGAGTGAGCCCAACAGCTTCCGTTTAATTTTGCCAGCTTTGTTTGAAACGCACACAGTCACGCGTGCCGAGCCGAACTTGGAATGATTAGGCATTGTTTTCATTTTCTTCTGTCGTTTCCCTTTTTCTCATCATCGTACTGCAGAAGTCTTCACTGTTTTCGTTATGCTTTACATCATCAGCAGAGAGTTTTACGTTTTGCCTGTGATCACCGACCATTACTGGTGATTGTTGTTTGCCATGGCTCTACTCCTTGCTGCGTGACAAAACGTTCTGTCAGCGATAGTCGGTTGATGCGTTGATGAGTGTCGAGTGAGTGTCATGATATTTTGCATCTCTGGACGTATTCTTCAAATGTGTATTGAGCGTTTATTCGCCAAATTCGATTATCCTTCAGTTTCATGTGGTTTGTTATGATCGAAAAAGTTGGACAGGGTGAGCGATATGGACATACATTTATATTTTTATTATTTAAAATTTAAAAAAAAATAAAGAAGTTATGGTTGAGGCTGTTCGTGACAGTAATGACTGACATAGTTGATGATGACTCGGATATACGTAAAGAATCGAAGTTTTGCAAGAGATGTTTCAAAGTCGGATCCATCAGCGGAAATAGTCACCTATACGTATTCCGGATTACGCCCTTCCAGATGTGCCTCATCATATTTTGCTTTTATACTCCCGGTAAATCGAATACTCACCATACTACGACACACGGGATATGGACTAGAGGTGGGCAAAACAGCTCATCTGGCTGAGTGGATCAAACCCATCCAGCTCACTAAAGGGAGTCGATTATTTTGAATAGCTCTTCAGCTCACATTGAAATTATGACACAAATTCAAAATCGAAAAATTAATTAGTGGTTTTAGTGCTTAAAATTGCAAAAAATCGTAAAAGTAGCCTAACCCAATGGATCCGTACCTTAAAACATGGCCCTACTTTTCAATGGAAAACGCCACTAACGCAACAACTGATCAACCATCGCGTTTACCAAAATGCGTGCAAAATGTGCCAACAACATATCAGTAAAAGCAAAAATATATGCGAGAGAGCTACACCTATGTCACACGCGATCGACCTTTTCTCAAGCTATGCAATCCAATCTACATACAAATTTTATGTGTGATGTTAATTCTCCAGCAGAATTTCTCTCACTATTCTCGGCTTCAGCTCCAGATCATCAGCTCAGATCCGGATCCGGAGCTGAATCGTGAAGAATAGAGAGAGAGAGAAAAAAGATCCGAAGAGCTGGATGGGTTCGATAGCTGGACGGGTCCGAGAGTTGTCAACCTAAACAGCTCCCAGTGAATTATTCGAGTAGATGATTCGGATCCGGAGCTGAAGTGATAAGCTGGAGAGCTGCATTTCGCTTTTCGGTTATTTGCTTTTGTGCGGATCTTTCGCTCCCCAGAGAATGATGGGAGGAGAGGTGAGAGCACATTTGCTGAAGGAATAACATCAGCAATAAGAGCCGGGTACATACATAAATTAACCACTTAATTCGAGCAGTTAAAATGACGTTTACTACCACTCGAACTTTGAAATAAAACATTATTTTGAGATTTTTTCTTCTAGAACCACGAGAAAAGTAGCCAACATTTGTGCGTTTCATAAAAACATAGAAATTAGTTGGTGCAGTTTTGTGAAATCGCTGGTAGAAAGTCACACCAAAACTGTTTGACAAAGTGGTCAATTGGATAATACCAGTAGAAAATTAACATCGTGTAGCACATGTGTATATATCTCTCTCCCCAAACAGCCGCTTGGAAGTTTGCTTTTACCATTGGTGCTGTCGATCAGTAGGCACATGGTGTATTACACGCGCGTTTTGGTTTACGCGGTGACTGGTTTGAATGGTTTAGACTTGCGATATCAGTAAGCTGATGAGCTGCGTTTCCTTAAAAATGAACCGTGGGTCATCAGCTCACTATAGAGAATCGGGTTTATAGAACAGCTCGGGAGCGGCGGATCGCCCATCTCCAGGCATGGAAAATCATTTACATTCATTTCATGCATTCATTTACATTCATTTGCCTCTAACTTTTTTTCATCAACAGAATCCCGCAAAATGATGTATGACACTTTTGTAGGTTTTGTTATAAGCTACAACTTTTGTTTGTAACTCAAATCTGTATCTCTTATGCATCACGAATTAGAGCGGGCAGAACTTATTACTGTTTTTCAGTGAATGTAAAATACATTCACTTAAAAACAGTAGTGGCTTCTATTCGCTCTGGTTCGTCATGCATAAGAGATACGGATTTGAGTTGTTAGCAAAAGTTGTAGTTAATAATAAAACCTACAAAAGTTTAATACATCATTTTGCGGAATTCTATTGATGAGAAAAGTTAGGGGCAAATGAATGTAAATGAATGCACGAAATGAATGCAAATGATTTTCCATGCCTGCCTATCTCTAATATGGACATATGGTCGATCCGATTAAGGTTGTTGTAAGACCAATCCTCAGCTCTCCCAGATACAGTACACTTTATACCGGTAAAGTTACCTTTATTAAAAAATATACCCTTTGCCCCCCTTCTAATCAGTCGACCTCTGGTCCCTCTTCTCATAATTTAACCGTTTGCCCCAATTTGAACAATTCGACCTTTGTTCCATTCGACCTTTTTCTATTCGACCTTTTTTCCATTCGACCTTTTTCCATTCGACCTTTGTTCCATTCGACCTTTTGAACCTTAGACCTTCTGTCATTCGACGTTTTGTCCATTCAACCTTTCTATTTTGTCCCCCTTCTCATCATTCGACCTTTTGTCATACCATCTGGATTTCAATATTTTGTATTTTCATAGTTTTTATACCTAACAAATATTAACCCGATAAAATATACTCACAAGTCTTTCGTTTTGTGCCTTAACGCTAACAGGTGCGGTGCGGAGATGAGCGGCGGCGGTGGCCGTTTGAGTATACTGCTGCTGCGGACGCGCAAACTACCGTCGGATTTTGCTGTTGCATCTGAAACGGAGAGGAGGAAAAAGACGAAACAAGATTCAAATTAGTTAACCTGTGGTTGGTTGGCTGGTTAGTGAGCGACATACACGATCCGTATCGGATCATGCCTGCTGGTTTTTTCGCTTTATCTGATCGTAACACATGGGGTGAGTGTGATACATCGTTTAGATCTAATCCGTTTGCACCGTCGTCGTCGTCGTCGTCGTCGTCGTTTGACACCGAAACCGAGACTGCTCCCATGACCTTTCCGGGTTGAAACCTGGCCGGGTGGATTAATTGAAACCAGAGGCAAACAATTATTTCACGGATTTGAATGGCCTCACTGAGTGCTTGTAGTTCACCGTAGGAGTCTTGATTTTCCATAAAGCGATCAGGACTCGTAACGAAAACAAACAACGCCGTAAAGGTAAATCCGTTGGTAAGTGGTCCAACGATTCCTCCAATCATATTTATTATAAATCGATTCCAGCGATGGCAATAACCATTCAATTAAATGTGTTTCCTTGCGGCACAGATGTTGCGGCGATTTAGTGCGCAAATGAAGCTGAGGATCTTGCTGGTGTGGTGCGATCGGCGTGGCCTTAGCAGCCCACCTCTTCCAGAAAGAAGTCAAGCAGAGGTACACCACCTTTCATTTTATGATTTGCTCATGCTCATGCAGGCTCAGTTAGCCATGACCGCGCGCGCTCTCGGTGGACAAACGAGCCAAGCCATTAGTAGTGATTGCTATGGTCAATGCCTGCTTCGTTCACGGGCTTCCGAGTAGGCAGCTGCTCACCTCTGTAGGTTCATTGGGTGCAATTTGGCAGAGCAAGTATGCTCGCAAGATAAGGCTTAAAATGCGAAATGGCCATAATCCTACGTTATCAAGTGTTCGAGACGCGAGACTGCTATCTTCTGACTGCGGCATAAGAAAGTGGTTATGTGTTCCAGCGATCCAGGGAAGGGATCTTCGCGGGTGTGTAAATGTTGACGAAGATTTTAGTGCTTATCAGTGAATGCTGTTATCCATTTCGCACATTTCGGTGGGACCTTTAAGGTGCCGTTATAATGATCGTCATATTAACCCCCGCGTGTCACAGGCCGCTCATCGAGGTTAATGGACTTGAAATTGATGGTTTAGTTTTCGAGCGGTATCTTTTCACAAGGTCGACGCAGGGACGAGCGAACGAAGGCAATCAAAATTAGTGAGATAAAGAAGAGTTAGTGTTATACTTTCTCGGGATACGGGAATAGATATTTCGTATCGTTCTGCCAGATGAACAAAAATGACGGTCCTCGGTGACCTCTCTGACGTTATTTCGTCATATTTGCCTCTTAACAACCACCTCGGAATCACGCCGTGATCCTCTGAAAAGGACACCGTAGCTTTAATTTAATGTTTTGACTTTTGTACGGGAATCCATTACCATTAATTCGTCGCTGATGGCAATCGCGAGAAGCAAAAAAGAAAAATGAATCTGATGCAAATCGTGCGATAAAAATCATTGAACATTAATTTCGCACCATGTGATAATTGTCCATTTTGATGATAATTTATCGCTTCGGTAGTCCGATCTTGAAGGAGTATCGGTTTCCATCTTCAGCTCCGTCCCAGGAGAGCAGCTGGCCGCGTGGGACAAAGCGAGGTAAATGGGGCTTAATGAAAATATTACGACTGCCCATTCGTGTCGTTCCAGTTGTCAACGGAGCTGTGAAGGTTTGCGAGTCAGTGTCAGCCAAGAACCAAGGTTCTCATGAATAATGGGGATTTTATTTTATTTCGATTCTAAATCAAACAATACAGCGAGCGGCGAGTACTATAAAACAATCAAAGGCTTCGTTGGATCGTATGGCACATAATATATAAAATATAATTTAAATCATTTGTTTGAGAAACCATATTTACATGAGTCATATTCGGACTTTTGTAAGCCTTGTTATTGTTATGCCTAAACGCATAGTATATTTAGCAGAACCAGGAGCCTTTAGTATTATGAATGCTACAAGCTCTTGTAACTTGCTATTCGATGTAATTCAATTGGGAATTACAAGTTCCCAGTTTATCCGAATATTAATTGTGATAAAAGCTTCAAATTTAACATTAACTGGGTGATAACTAAAAAACGAGAATAGCTCCAACTCCCTCATTCCAAACCACAAATGTCCACAAAAAGGAGACAGGTCACCGATGATGAGAATGATCCATAATCCAGGAAAATTCTAGTAAACTTTCTCGGCTTAATGCCAAGAGGGAAAAGATTCCCCCTATTGTGATAACCACTTCCGATTTGCATGCTCTTCGCATGGAATTTTTGAACTTCGTGAAAGTTAAGTTTTCACTACAAATTGGACGTCTCAAGTATATTACTGAGAAGCCGCACACATGTTTTACTTACGACACAAAAACTGAACGTATGTTCAAGGTTGTCATGGAAGGACTGCCCAGTGGTGAATCCCTGGATCAGATGAACTGGCAAAATTACTTGGAGTTGTGCCACTCCAAGTGATCAAAATGAAAATGAAATCCCGTCCTGGCGATTCGCGCAACGGGATTTCTAATGATTTTTATTAAGTTCATTTCAAGTCTGGTGAACTAAACAACCTTAAGGCCTTACAAAAAGTTAGCCATATCCGAGTGAAGTGGGAACACTTCAGGAAGACTGGAGGAAATTTCCAAAATCTCACCCAGTGTCGTAAGTCCCATGGATGGGGTCCCGGAACAAAAAACTACTACATGCCAGCTAAATGCATGAATTGTGGTGATTCCTCTCACGCAAAGGCCCGGCTGTCCTGTGAAGGACGATCCTAAGAAATTGCTCGTTCTAAGCGACAGGTAGGAAACGCTCCACGTTTCCGACCGGGTACAAATTCCTCTGTTGTTAACAACGGCCAGCGAGGAACAAATTCTAAATTCGTACCCGTAAATAGCTCCCCTGCTTAAAATTCTTCCTCTATACCTGCTGCTAACAATGTTGAGCAAGTAGATGGAGCTACATATGCTGATGAGTTTTTAAAGCGATGGGAGAAATCTATCATTTTTATACCTTCCCCTTGGCTAGTTTTTGCACCTTGCTGTTGGTGGGCGGGCTTAATTTCATGCTTTTTAGTGGAGTGTTGGAGACGGTAGGTTTATGGCCGGCATTGCTGGCTCATGTCGCGATAGAATGGCGCCATGGGCAGGCAATGGGGATTACTAAGCTTCCCCTCTCTGATAAACCACTGCATGAGAGAACCAAAGATCTAGTCTAGCAGTGATAGTATCACACTTGTTACTCCTTTGATTGAGAGCCGCGTCGTAGTACGCTTACGTATAGGCACTGACGTTGGGTGTGATACTGGCGGGTTTTGCCGCAAATCACTCTTAATTTATTTATTTTTACGCAGATAGATTTATTTGTGTTTGCAAGGGAATTATACTATTCAAATATTTCAGAAAGTGCCCAACAGTGCTCCTTCTACTTGCGTGACAAGCTTTCATTGTTGTTTTAATTGAGGTATTACTCAGGGAACAATGTTAAACACCATTTTTGTACATGGTATTGTAACTAATCTTATATGTGCTTCATTTTGATTTGGGATAAGTGTTTGAACTATGACTCGGGACTTCCACTGTGGTGTGCTTCTATTGTGACATACCCATATGTATTTTTGTGGTGCGACATAGTGGAAACGTGAGAGCGTAATTGGAACATTTACCTTATACAATATACAATTTAAAATTAGCTTGGAAACTAACTTCAAAGTGAAGCATTTTACTCACTTGAAGGTGTCACCTGGGACGAACAAAGATATACTTAATATATGTCAAAGCCAGAAGTATTATTATTATTTAACTTTATTAAGGAAGCTTTCAGCCTTGGGCTGGTTCGCCTCCAAAAAGCCAGAAGTACTTGAAACACGTTAAATTTTAGTTTAAAAGCATGGGTTATGATTGTGTAGGTAGATTAGAGATTTCAGTTATTTATTAAATAAACATAAACTTAAAGAATTCAGAAAGTTAGTTAACATAAGAGATAGGACGCGGGGGGTCTGCTTAGGGAGGCGACTAGCCTTTGAAGTTGTATAATAAATCTTCCTATTTAGTGTATTTGTTAATTACAGACAATGTCAATAGCGAAAGTCATATCTTCAACCATCTTCAAACGAACAAGCGAAGTTTTAAGAAAGATGTGTTACATATGTTGATAGGTTTGAAATAAGAATTAGGATTGTTGTGCTTTAGTTTTCGGTAAGGTATGATGTGTCAACAAAACCCTTTTGAGCAAATTTTCAAACATCAAATTGATTGAGTGATTTATTGAAAGACGAAAATTGACAAGTCATACTATCTAGTCATCTAACATAGTAGTAGTAGCAGTGTCGCATAATCTTATCACAATTGCTGCAAGGGGCCGGCAGGGCTGAATACAGATCAAAACTAACATAACTACTAACACTAAAATGATCCCGGAACTAACACTTATCCATTGCACTTTTAGTTATATATTAGTTTTATTTTTCTACTAAGTCATCTATGCTTCTTTCCATTGTTTGGATCAAGTACAACTAATACTAATCTACTTTTATGTATGTTTACTCCCTTTTAACCCATTATCTTTATGAATGGCGAATCATATGACGTGAGACAGGTACTAGCTGGAACCCAAAGAATTACTTCGAACAGGATATCAAACAAATTCAGGACTAATCCAAATGAGACCAGAAACCAACAAGGCATCGGGGCGTTATATACTCGGAGAGGTATTTGATAAATAATCAAAAGGTGGTAAGTTAAAATCATAGTGGAGCCAAGGATCATGAGAGGTAATTTCAATCATTAATTAGTAGAAATCTCGACAACTTTTTCAAGGGCACGTATCGGCTTTTGTAGGCGGCGCGTTTGGTCGTCTATTTGGCGTAGCTGGTGGCTCGCCCACGCATACTGGCACTATCATCAGATAGGGGAAATTTTCCTCTACCTGAAGGTGGTGTTGGTGAGCGTGTGCGAGCTGCCGATTGCGCCGGATCGACGATCGGATGCATTGTTGGCAGGAGCTGGTGCTTTCCTTTGAAAAAGTAATCGAGAAATAACAATATTATCCTTTCAATTCCGTTATAATTGCTTATCTTTTGACAGATACGCGTATTTCGTCTACTACTTGTAGACTTCATCAGTGCCAAGTACTCAACACCACTGAAGAATCCATCTTTTATCTACGAGTTATATACTAATCAATAGGTACTAAAAATCAGCAGGTATCCACTGCCATGTCAAAATTTACCTAAACAGGTACCTAA